AGAGGATTCTGATTGCTCCAGACAAACAACACAGAGGAGATTTTAAAACGCTCATTTCCAGCATTCCCCATGTGGAGGTGTACCTCTGGAAGAACACTGCTAGGGATAGGGCTGGGATTAATTAGCCAGGGTATCCGTGACAAAAACGATTCCAGGAAGCTGCTGGGTGATGCTGGTTTGAGGGTTGTGCTGCTACTCTAGTTGGAACCAGCTCTCAGAGCTGGCTGCATTTCTTAGACTGATGGCAAAGCGGGTCAGAAGAGCTTGTCACTCTCCCTGTGCAGTACGGGGGTTCTGTGTGTGAACCACACTTTGGGGTTTTTCGGAATCAAAAATCCATGTTATCGGAAAGCCACCTACTCCTGGTGAGTATCATGGCAGCTCAGATCCTGTCTCGCAAATGTATGGCACAAGGCAGGAATACACTCCAATTGGAATGCAAATCCATCAAAGGACACATACGGTGTGTGCACACATGCATACAAGTACACACACCCATGCACCTAAACACACAAGCACATACTGTACATATGCACACAAGGACACACACATACACCCAAGCACAGAAGCACACAAATGAAATCTGACACTAATCCACATAACCAACATGGAATGTGATAGGAAACCAGGGCACCAGGAGACAACCCACACAGAAGGCATCCCAGTTCCAAATCAATCCCACGACCCAAGAGCTGTAAGGCAGCAGTGCTATCCACCACTGTACCAACCAAGATGAAAAGTGCCACACAGAAGAAATGCAAGAAAATGAAAGGATGTCACAGTACAGTATGTCGGTGGTGCATTGGCGTCTAATATCTGGCAAATTGATCTAATGTGCCTGGTCCATGCATTGATCTCTTGAGGCCATCCTGGGTAGCAAAAATTGAAATAAAGTAATTAAGTAACAGCATGAAAAAGGCAGATAACAGCCACCTTGACATCACACGGATAATGATACCGGCTCCTCAGTTTGCACATCAAAAGATAAAAAAAAACCCACAAGCACATCATAATCCCTCTTTTTAATAAAGGTAAACAGATAAACAGGCTCATTCATCAGCCTGTCCCATTACTCACCCTGGTGTTTAAAATGATACAAAATTGCATTTTTACTGTTCATTATGGAGATGTGTCCCACAGTGCTTTATGGAGGGATGTCACAGATTTTTTTAATCCTCCCTTCTATCTTTTTGGTGTTGTTTCTGGAAAACATGTCACATATCTAGGGCTCGGAGTTTTCACTGCAGTTTGACTAGGATGCTCTAATACCTATGTAAACCAAAAATTCCCACAAAACAGAAGTCAGTGAGTGGGGCCTACAAGCCCACAGCCTGTCAAAGCTTCTCTGGACATGTTAGGAATTTCATTCACAGTTCTAGGCATCTGCAACGGCCTTCAGTCTAAGAGCCTTCAGTCAGAGCCCTTTGTAAAAAGGTACATGAAGGTTAGCAGATTTGGAATTACAATAAGTACTTAGCTTCTGGCTGCTGTTTATAGTGATATTAAATCCCAACAGCACATGTTTCAAAACTCATTATATCTAGCGCTGTTCACATAACTAAGCAATAAATCAGCCATAAAAACTAATCATTCTGTACTGTAGCCGTTGTTCACAAAGTTCGAGAGCTGTCATTAGATTTAAAGACATCCAGGTGCTTCCTTCTGTTTTTTTCCTCTGAATGTCACCATAGAGATCTCTTAGTTATCCGGTCTCTTTTTGTAAGTCACAAATCAGGTATTCATTATTCATCTTTATTCATCATTAGGCTGGAAACACATTCAATTCAGTTATAGTTAGTTAGTTTTTATTTTAAAACATGCTTTTTGAAGCTTTGAAAACTAGCAACATGCATATATAATATAGTTTTTATTTTGAATTTCTCTTTATATAAATATATAAAAAGGACAATATCTGTGTTACCAGAATTTTGACCAGGAATGCATGATGATGACTCTTATTAGTAGTAGCAGTACTAGTATTAATGCAGAAATGCCAGTCATTCATTTTTTCTAAGATATGGCAAAGGAACAAGATTTGCTTTGGTCCTTAAATATCAACTTTCAGATTAAGGTTTTGGCCTTTTCCTTTTAAACAGTTTCTGTGGCCTGTCCTAGCCTTGTCAAAGGAAAGTAGAGCATAGCAGATCAAGTCAGAATGTGGATATTATTTTCCTGGCATCCAGAGAGAATTAATCTTTTTCTGCGACAGTTTTTGACAGTCTAGCAACCTTTTTGAAGGTGAAATGTGCAGAGGTTGTACCTGGAGACTGAAAATGAACTTATAGCATGTCTTCTGCTACTCCCCTTGGTATGAAGATCCAATGCATTTTCTAGGTAAAATAAAGATATGTCTGTCAGGTCACTGGATTTAGTGAACAGTGAGTAAATTCATTTCACACTTGATTCATACTGTATCAATGACTGCTCTATGTTAGCTATTGTCCAGGGTCACGTGACCCTGCCTGTGAGACACCTCTGGCCAGGTGACTTATTTGCTAGTTAGTGCAGGTTGTTATAAAGGATTAAAAGGTGACCTGAAAGCTATGCAGAGCGCAAAAAAGCGGAGAGTGTAAGACTGGCACTATGAAGGAGCTGCCGTATAAAAGTGAGCAATAGCACCAGTCACTGATTGTCACATTGCTCAGAAACCCCGTATCCCCCAGTCCTCGGTGACGCAGGCGGTGCCCAGCTGTTTTCTCGCTTTCGGGGACCTTGAGTGTTGAACACAGAGATTTTCCACACTGTGTTGTTCCAACCCGAACCTAGAAACAACCAGCAAAACCCACAGGACCTGGCTATCCACAACAACCTCGGGAAGCCACCTTACGAAGTCCCGGTCACTCCCGTCCTATTCTGATAGACCGCTAGCAAAGAAAACCAGAGCCTGATTTTGCACTCTGTAAAATATTCAGAATGTCTTGTTTTGGATTGTTGGATACAAAATGAGAAAATTAGAACAAAACGTCCTATTTATAAACTAAACAAACTTATTCTATCTTTCTACATCTGCCTTATACTATGGTCTAGTACTGAACTATATTTTATATTAGTTCAGGTGGGCAGCTGCGTCAGCATGCGTAGGCTGCAAAGGAACAAGTAATAGGTTTATTCCGTGCTGAAAGGAAAAGAAAGAAAACACAACGTTTCGGTCGTGGTGTTTTTCTTCTCTTTCAACATTTGAGATTTCCATGGCAAAGCTCTTCATCTTTGTGAACGTCACGAGAATGTGTGATCATGAGAAAGTCAATTAAGCACAATAAATGGAGTTTGCTTCCACGGTTTATAAGTTTTGATGGAAGGGTATGATTTCGAATTTTACAACCATAAATGCGTGTTGTGCCAGAGTAGGGTCGTATAGAAATACTGCGATACTAAATGTACGTTCCCCAGTGAAGCGGCTGTCACTGAATGAGAAAATCAAGGCAGGACAGTAAAACTCAGAGAAAAGCAATAAAACGGTGACATGTTCAGTAAATTAAGATAAAATATGACAGAGTGATGGAGAAAACAAAATGAAGCAGAGTGAATTCATTATATAAACCTGTCCAAATGCAGTATAGTACCGTAAAAAAATGTAACAATCAAGATTGTATGTGTTACTGTATCTATTTATGATGCTCACACCTACCTAAAATAATTTTGAAAGTTTGAGCTCAATAGGTTATAAAGTGCCTTCAGAAACAAAAAGGTACTAAACTCCAATTTCTCCCGATCCCCAAACACATAATTTATCTGGCTTTTGATCACAGGTTAATAAAATAATTAAAAGGAACAGGTCAGCTCTCTGATTCCAGCAACATCTTTTTTTGTTACGTGGTGACCAATTTAGCATAACGTCCCTTAATTCTATTTCTACAAGTTTCACTATCCATCCGACCATTCTGTCTGTCGTATTTATGACTTCTCCACGTTATCTAGAAGATGCTTATAGCCAGCAGCCATATCACCCTGCAACTCACAACTGGCAGCCCCACTGTTGCTGCTGGAAGAGGTGTTAGTGGGGCCAGCAGGGGGCGCTCACCCTGCGGTCCATGTGGGTCCTAATGCCCCAGTATAGTGATGGGGACACTAATAATAATAATTGCTTACACTTATATAGTGCTTTTTCTGGACACTCCACTCAAAGCACTTTACAGGTAATGGGGATCCCCTCCACCACCACCATCACTATACTGTAAACAGGTGCCATCCTTTGGATGAGATGTAAAACCGAGGTCCTGACTCTCTGTGGTCATTAAAAATCCCAACTGAAAGAGTAGGGGTGTAACCCCGCCGTCCTGGCCAAATTTCCCATTGGCCCTTATCAATCATGGCCTCCTAATAATCCCCCTCTATGAATTGTATACATTACTCTGCTCTCCTCCCCACTGATAGCTGATGTGTGGTGAGCGTTCTGGTGCACTATGGCTGCTGTCGCATCATCCAGGTGGATGCTGCACACTGGTGGTGGTGGAGGGGAGTCCCATTACCTATAAAGCGCTTTGAGTGGAGCGTCCAGAAAAGCGCTATATAAGTGTAAGAAATTATTATTATTATTATCGTGTCCCAGAATACACATTCGGGCCCTTTTCATCTGCAGTTCTTTTGGGTTCGCTGTTTCTCATTTTGTATTGATAATTAATATGTCTGCAGCATGCATCATTCTACAATTGTCTGCATTAAATGAAATCTGGCAGGTTTAGGCCCAGTCTTTTTTTAAATAATTTCTTTAGCAACGTATTTGCCAGTCAGACTTTTCTTTTGGCGAGGATTTAGGTATATTAGTTGGATAAGTGGTAGGATGTTAATTTGACTGTTTATTCCTCAAGGAGAATAGGATATATCAGTAAGGTGCTATTTGCACGCTGCGATTTTTTAAAAACAGTTTTAATAATTTATCAAACTCGTCCAACAGACGTGTCAGACCGCCTGCACACTGATTATTAATATGTGAATTTTAAACATACTGGCACAGCGCCTGGAGTGGGAGGTATGCTCTGTGCGCATGTGCGGTGTGGTCGTGGAGCATCTGCCGCGCGAACTGCAAATACACGGAGCAGCTTTCTGCAGGGGAATAGGGGAACAGAAATCGGCACCGAAAGACTGCTTTTATAAAGACACGGTAAGGAATAAGAAATGCAATAACACTAGGTAACCATCCTTCTGGCTGGGTGCTGTACGTTGAGATCCAGGCATTTCCCGACTTCATACCAAATACTAGAGAAAGCAGTTGTTGGCCTAGTGACTGCCAACACGCAGTGCATTTTAAACCCACTCTCACGCAGGAGTTCAGTTTGACGTGTCTTTGTGCGAAAGCCGTCTTTCTCGGGTTCCGAACTGTCTGTACTTCCAGCATTTTTCGTTGTTATGATTGGAATGATTTGGCACCGTGTGTATTAACGAACCATTCGTAACAATACTTAATTTAAAGGCTTATTTTATATTTTTTAACTAGATGGATGTTTGCGAAAGCATGCTGATTTAAGAGCTTTATTAGCTTTATGTTTCACCTGTTGTCACCGGTGTAAATGTTTGTTTTATTTCGGTTTTAGTAAATTGATGCATCCCTCCTGTTAAGCAGGTGCAGAGAATTAGTAATACGCTAAGTTGAAGAGTAATAAGGTTTACTGTTTCGTTCAGGCGGGTATGAATCCTGAATATGATGTAAAAACAACAGAAGCTTACATGTTTGTCTTTTTCAATTGAACGTTTCAGTCTCTCTCGTGGACAGCTCCGGTGGAAGAAAGTAACATGCCAAAAATTACTCTAAAAGGCATCGCCGTGGATTTTCCTTTCACTCCCTATAAATGTCAAGAGGATTACATGAACAAAGTTATTGAATGCCTGCAAAACGTAAGTTCAGTACACGATGTTTTTTTTCAGCTATGTTGTTGTGCAAGGGGAGGTAAAAACAGGATTCCATAAAGTTACGAGACTTAATGTTTGAGTAAGTGGGTATAACTAATATTTCTGTGTCTGACTGTCTCGTTTTATTCATTTCAGAACTTCCTTTATTGTTGTTAAAGTAATTGTTAAAACAGTAGTTTAGATATCATTGCTTTCCAACCCGGAAGCACGTTGTTGTTAGAAGGCTGTTTGGTTTAGCATCAACCAATCATAGGGGCGAATGCCCAGTCCTCGTTGCTTCATTGGCTGGGATGTCCAGATTGACAAGTAAGTAAGGAGGCGGGTTGACCGACCACGTTCCTGTTAGACTGCAGATCGGGCTGAAAATTAGCATTTCCGTACTAAATATACTGTCGCACCTGAAGTGAATTAAAGCGGTTTGAAAAGCAAAATCATTGCTCACTATGAGCTGTTGTATAGTTTTCTTTCCCTGTTTTTTTATGGATACATAGCTGTTAACAGCGGCAGCTCATTTGAAGGGAAACGTAATGCTCTCATACTGTACATACGAGAACAAACACAAGCAGCTTCAGATTGTTGGAAAATCGTCTGAAAAATATTGCAGATGAAAGGAACTGTTGGGAACTCTAGATTGACTGGAAGATCATATTAAACGGGTAGTGGGTTGATCTAATTAAACAGCACCACTACTACCTTCAAAGCTGATCTCAT